GAATTCACCGTTAGCCTAGTAACTATAGCCGCGTACGAGTTCCGCTGGCGGCTGGCCTGAGGCGATCCCCTGCCGTGCCTCCTTCAGGTAGCTGTGTCGAGCGCTGTGTGTACGAATTTAGCGCTTGGACGCCGCAGTGCGGTAAATTACGTGAAAACCATGTCGTGCAAAAGTACGATTATTTATGTCAAAAGCTAAGAAAGCTACGCGGTTTGTAATACTACCGAAGATGATGACTTAAGATGATGTTATACTACGCAGAATAAGGACCAAGTGAACAAAAAGAAGCTCCAATGTTTGTATACATTTGTATTTTTATTCACATCGAACTCGTACGACAAAAATGTAATGAAATCAGTACCAAAGAGGTGTCTTAGCTCCTTGTCATTATTAGCTCCTGCTATATATATATATATATATCTATATATAATAATATATTATATATATTATAATATATATATATATATTATTATACTATATTATATGTATATAATATATGATCATGTGTCGCTGTTTGCTTGAGCGACCATAAACGGTAGTGATGCGACACTGAGTCTCGGGTGCACGGCCACGCGTCGCCACACTGCCGCTGATATTTAAGGTACTATACACACGCCGCACACAACTGTACACATCTCTCCAACTCCGTCGCCACCCTTTAGCACCCACAGCATCCCCGTGCATCCCCACATCCCCCAGCATCGCCCGAACGACGGGAGTCCCGATGTTCTGCTGTGAAGATTGCCGCACGTGCAGGCGCGATTCTATCGCCTAACTGATACATGTGGGTCAAGGGGAAGAGTTGGGGAGGGTGTAGCGTAGATCGTCAGGAGGGGTCGGGGAGATCGGCGCGTGCCGCGCGCGCCGCGTGTGTGTGTGTGTTTGTGTGTGTGTGTGTGTGTGTGTGTGTGTGTGTGTGTGTGGTGTGTGTGTGTAATGTGTGTTTGTGTGTAAAGTGAGTGAGAGAGAGAGAGAGAGAGAGAGAGAGAGAGAGAGAGAGCGAGAGGAGAGAGAGAGCGAGAGACAGAGAGAGAAAGAGAGAGAAGGAGAGAGAGAGAGAGAAAGAGAAAGAAGAGAAGAGAGAGAGAGGGAGAGAGAGAGAGAGACGAGAGAGAGAGAGAGAGAGAGAGAGAATGAGATAAAGTAACCGCGAAAGAGACTCAATCGAAAAAATTGAAATCACAAACTTAAGATGAATAGTAAACGTAAGAAGCGAGCGAGAAAACGTGTAAAGAGGAGCAGGAGCAAGAGCGGGTGGAGGAGAAAGAGGATGAGAAGAATCAGAAGGTGGAAAAGAAGAATAAGAATGAGGCGAAGAAGAAGAAGGAGAGGAGGAGGGGAAAGAAGGGGATAACAAGTAGAGATTTAGAGAGAAGGGGTGGGGTCTGTTGTGTCTGTTGACCACATTTCAGTGCGTATGCCACTGCACACGCTCAGGCTATTTTAAAACTCGATCAACATCATCCTCCCAGTGGGAAACTTTTACCCAAGGACATGTGTTTCCTGCGCCAGTAGAGCAGGGACGGGTTGGCATCATGAAACGCCTTCGTAATGATATATACCAAAGGTTGCTGCAGCGCTTGCCGCTCCCGCTCGCATTCCTTCCCACCGAGGTTGTTTGTCTGATGTATTTGCATTTGTATCTCGTATGATGTTTAAAATTCAAGTTCTGCATTCGAAAGTAGCCTTATTTGTATTTGTAGCATGTATCGTTGCAGAAATAACTTGATAAGCTCTGTCCTTGGAAGCAGGTTGATCTGTAAGCGTACGGCATAGCCGTGTGTAAAAATCACTTAATCGGGTCTTAATCTTGCCATTGGAAGCCGTTTACTGTGGCGCCCACATATTCATACGACGTAGGTGACCAAATCATGATGTTTATGGAATGTAGGTCCAGAATATAGAAACCACAATACGCCGACTTATAGAAATGTATATTATATTGTGTTTATTTAAATGCATTTAGCATACACGTTCACCTCTACCGCATCTTTCGTCGCGGAACGACTTAACTATTGCCAGCCGAATATGGGGTGATTGATATTATCTCACCACGGAGTTCGTACGATTTTAGATAATGTGTTTTTTTTCGTCCATTGCGAAATTCGATCAATTTTGCAAGTAGATTATGGTGCGATTATGGTGTGATTAAAACCGTGATAGAACGCGAACACGTTTTTACCCGTGCTAATATGAGCCTACGACCGATAAAATACACTCTAGTCTAAATTCAGATATCTCGTATGCATATGACACATTGAAATCACTCACGTCATCACGACTAATTATAATGACGTAATGGCGTTGGGACCACGCAACACGCGAAGACGTGCGATAAGACCAAATCAAATGCCAAACGTCTGTCAAAGCTGCGAAAGAAGAAGGGAGAAGGGGGCATTCAGATGACAATAAAGTATATAAAAATCACCAAATCAAACAACAACAACAACACCACAAACCCACGGGATCGACCGCCGCGACCGCCACGGCAGCAGCGGCGGCGTTCTGTGGGCAAATTTTTCCCATAATGCTTTTCGGTCGAATCAACAGCGGTCGTGACGTCAGTAATTCACCCGCGATGCAGCCGCGTCTGTTGTATTTAGTTAGTCTTCGGTTGGGTCAAACTCTACCAACAGTTCGGCGGTCGTGTGCACCTCGCCCTTGTCGTTCTTGGCCGTGATTTTGTACGTGCCGTCATCGTCTCGCGCCACCTTATGGAAGACGATGGTGATGTTGCCGTCGTCCAAGATCTTAATGTCGACCTTTTTCGACTTCTGGAGTTCGTCTTTGTCGTGGTAAATCTACGAGGAAAATGAGGAAGACACGCGGTTTCTTTATTGGGCAGTTCAGTTTATTGTTGGCGGGGAGCTAGCAGGAGCCACAGTTAGGGAGAGAAAGAGAGAGAGAGAGAGAGAGAGAGAGAGAGAGAGAGAGAGAGAGAGAGAGGAGAGAGGAGAGAGAAGAAGAAGAGAGAGAGTAGA